CTTGAACCTGTTTGAATAAGAAAACAGCTTATTTCAGTTCATGTCTGGTTAATTTCAGGTAGGAAAACAAATAAAACTCCATAAAACAGAGCTTTAACAGAAATAAAATACAACTAATATATAATACTTTACTGATTAATGCTGAATTTTCAAGTGTGAATGTGTTGAATTTATCCTCTATAAAGGAGATAGAAAATCCAACCAATATGATCAGTTAATTCAGTGGTATCCAACCTTTTCAGCAGTAATCAGCACAATCACAGATGTAATTTTTTTGTGGTTCATTAATTATATAACAAACAAGTGAAATACAATAAAATCAGAGGCCTTGATATTAAGAAAAGTTGCCAATTTTGAAGATTTAAAAAAATATATATTTTTAATCCTCATGGACCTTAAAATTTTAATTATAAACTGTTTGTTTCAGAATTTTTGAGCAAAGCTACATGAAGGGCTAACTGTACATAACTGTTACTAATTTTAAAATGATTTATCAGAGCAAATACAGCTAATCAACAGCATCCACAGCAAACACCTCGGTTATTTGTAACTGATGAAAGAATGAGATTTGACCACCACTCTTATATTATACTCAAGGTCCCAAAATGAGGAGCATGTTTTTGCTATAGCAAGCCCAAGCTGTAAACTCTTAGATTCACAGTCCAAGCATGGTAGTCCTTAGGCCATGCACAGCCCAAAACCTGCAATTTCAAATTTTACCATTCATAAATATAAGAATATGGAAAAAGAAAACCAATTTCTAATTTCTTTTTTTTTCAACAAATCATTAACATATTTCAACCTAAAAGTAGGCCTATCAAATAATCCTGCTTTACCCCTGAAGATGACAAGTCCATCTGTCAAATGTCAAAACGCTGATTTACCAAACTTTCTAATGCACATACGACCCAAACTGCAAAGCACATTTTTGTTGCAATGGGATGAAAACTGCAAATCCTTTAATTCCCAGTCTGACCACATTTACCAATAGAACATATCTAGCCCTTGGACTGAAAGTCAGAAACCAATGAGTAAACCAAGTCATTCCAGAACAGACACACAGGAACAAACTTCCAGGCACAGCAGGGGGGTCAGTGATATTTCTCAATTTTGGTTCTTCTCACAGTGAAAAACACTTAACCAAATTGCCTGAAACTTAGTTAAAACCTAATAAGTAATATTTAGTTTCAGTTTTATACTTTGATTTAGTTTTTTCTTCATTTTTTTCTGTGTTGTGAAATTTCCAAAATTTTATTTTTTTATAAAAACATTAATAATATTTTGTTTTGTTTTAGAACTTGATTTTTCTAATGTTGATCAGAAAGTTTCATTTTAAATATACAATCAGTTTCAATGTTTTGTTAAAAATTTATCTCTGTAAGTGTGGGAGAGAGGTTGAATCAATGGATAGAAAACTGTCTAGATGGAAGAAAGCAGAGGGTTGTTATATATGGAGTTCAGTCAAACATGATTAATGTCATGAGTAGGGTACCTCAGGACTCAGAGTTAGGATCTTTCCTCATTTTGATTTACAGCAATAGCGTAGATGAAGGAATTGCAACAGATTATTTAAAGTTTCTGATGACATTAAAGTTTTGGGTGTTGCTGGTTATGAAGACGATGCTACTATTTTACAAAAGGAATTGGAGTGTTTGGTGAGTTGAGTGAATAAATGGCAGATGACGTTTAATTATGATAAATGCAAAGTATGGCATGTGGGATATTATATTATAACTTGACTTATGAATATAATTTTGATGAGAGTAGCCTTAAGTAAAAAAAAATATTGCTGTTCTGTTTTCTATCTCTTATTAACTCTTTCAGCACGGGCTTGGTCCCATTGACCGACCTCCTAACCATTTTGTGCTTGTTATAGATTTCATGTTAACTTTTAAATTAGTAAACGTATCATCATGAAATTTTGCTTATTATCAATAAATATTACAAAGCTTCCATACAGAAAATATCATATTTCTTTTATTAAGTTTTAAGATTACTTATGTAATGTTTTTCTCGTGTCTTTTTTTTTTTCTTTTCGAAAGTTGACTATCCAACATACAAAATAATTTTGATTTTAAGATTAAAACTACTTTTATGCATCAGAAGATTTTCAAATTTCACATGCAAAATCTTTATAGACTCTAGATAAATAATCAAACGTTTTTTTTTAAAAAAACTATATTTTATCTGTATCTCTATAAAGGCTGGGTTGATTTGACCAACCTCATAACCACCAGAAAAAATTAGGAAATAAATATAATTATGCTTTTTTGTTCTAGAATGACTACAAATTATAACACAAATTTTTAGCCTAAATAGCTTAAATCTTGACTCGCAATCTCAGGGTCGCGGGTTCAAATCCCCGTCCCACCAAATATGTTCGCCCTTTCAGCCTGTGGGGGTGTTATAATGTTATGGTCAATCCCATAATTCATTGGTAAAAGAGTAGCCCAAAAGCTGGCAGTGGGTGGGAATGACTAGCTGCCTTACCTCTAGTCTTTCACTGCTAAATAAGGGACGGCTAGCACAGATAGCCCTCATGTAGCTTTGTGCGAAATTCAAAACAAACATAACATTATACACCTATATATATTTATTATCTTTATTAATTTCAACTTTCAGCCCTACCTGACTAACAATACAAAAGTTGCAATGACATTGCGCATGTGCACTCATGTTACCGTATCTAAGAGTATAAAACTGGCCTTTATAAAGTGATCTGTCTTGGCTGTGTTTTAGTAGACCAGTATTTTGTAAAATAGTCACATTTCAATTATAATACATTATATATGTATATACATTATTACTATTTACAAACAAGTTCTTAAACTTATTTTTCTTAGAACATAGAACAGTAAATAAAGAAGTATAGCAAACAATTATCTCTTCTAGGTATGAACTTTGTACTCGTTCGATGTTTGCCATAGGTTGCTAAGCCTTATCAAACTGCACACATGGAGGATGTGAAACAAAATAATTTTTAAGGTTTTATATATACATTTTGAAATAACCAAAAATCATAAATTACTATATTGATACCATAGAATTCCACTAAAATTTATCAAGCTTAGAACCTAAGCTGTATTTGGGTCTAAACAAAATATGAAACTTCGAGCTCACTAATGTCTTACCTTTACGTTTGGAATCTAGCATGAAAGGAAGGAGTTTACAAACACTTTGCTAAGGCTGAGAAAACAACTAGGGAGACATTCAGAGCTACTGATTGGTTATACACATGTCATTGGGTGAAGTAGGTGTACATAAGCAGGTATTTTCAAAAACTGAAGTGGTGGGAGGGGCCACATTGGTTGATTAAATCAATATACTAATATCTCAGAAAATATAAAAGATAGGAGGTTCTTATTTTACATTCTACCTTGTCAATATCGGTAATTTGAGTGTCTAATTCACAAGAAACTGTAGACTTCGTATTTGGACATCACAAACATGTAATTTGAACCAATGCTGCATTTAACATACAATGTGACACACAAAAATTTATATTTAGAATTTTTTTTATATCTACTTTTAAATTAGAAATTAACTAATGTATAATACTGAAAATTTGAATGATAATCTACAACTTGATACCAAACTTATTGACATATATTCATAAAATAGTAGTTCAATAAAATTTTGAATGAGAGTCAACAAATGAGACGACATAGCCTGTGACCTGTGTCATGGGGTTAAGCCATCCAAGCAATGTGCTGTTGCTAGGGGCAAGGCAAATAGAATTTTAGGTTGTGTGTACAGATATAATAAGTAGCAGTCTAAAGAGGTTATAATGTCATTGTATAGGTCACTGTAGTACTGTTTTCAGTCTTGAGCTCCTTACCTTGAAAAGGGTTCAGATGAGGGCTATTAGGGTGATACCTGGGATGAAAGGTTGTCATACATGATAGGTTAAGATCCTTGAAATTGTTTTCTTTTAAAAAAGAAATGTTAGAGGGGATCTGATTGAGGAGTTTAAGATTGTTAAATGAACTGATAGTGATTATGCATTACCTTTTTTTATATTTAATGCTAAGACTATGAGACACAAATATATATATTTTGGTCGGTTTGGAGTCATCTTTAGCTAAGACAGCTATATTTTTCTAAATAATGGATGCCTTTGGAAAAGGTTGCCTTCAGATGTGACAGATACAGTTACTTTAAGGGAGTTTAAAGGAAATCTTCATAAATATTTGAATGATAAAGCTGGATTTAAATGTTTTAGGTTTAATTTAACTTAGTAGAAAAGACAACCTAGCTGGACCAAAAGGTCCCTTGTTGTCCTTTAACGTTATGTTATATTTTGTACAAAAGAAAGAGAATAACTGAGGTTTAACTATTAAATTTCAATAAATGAATTTGTCCAGATTTAATTTCCTTTGTATGTTACAGAAGGACTTTGGGTTCTAAAGAAACTTTTTTCAATGTAGCCAGTTTGTTATCTCTATTCAAAAGCAGAAACCAAGGAATAAACAACTCACTATTTGTATTATATTTTTCTAACACTACTATTACAATGGAGTTTCAACCTTAAAAAATTTATACTTTCAGCCTCTTTAGCAAATTTAATAGTACAATAAAGTTTATTTAGTTAATAACAATAAAAACTGCAATAGCAACTCAACACAAATAAGAGTAAGAAAATAACATATCTACTGACAAAATACTTATCAAGCAAAAAAAATTATGTATAAGAGTACAATAATAAAATGAGTGTATAAAAAACACTTTAACATCATAAAAATACTTAATCATGAAATTCTGAATATGTTTTTAATATTAACTTAGACAAACAATCACTATCTTTTCATAGGATGCAAATCGCAAAGTATACACAGATAACACAAAAATTGCTATCTTCTCAGTTTCAAATGAAGTAGTTTTGGGTGTATGACAGTTAACTGCACATTAAAAGATATTCAGTTATATTATAAATTTGTTTGAAAAACCAAATGTTCTGAATTTATGTTTTAAAAATGAAAATTTACTCTTAAATTCTTTCTGGCTATTAAATTTTACCTTATTTTATTCAAGAACTAAAAATTTGATTATTCATCAGTAAGTCATTTTTCCGACATTAAGATTACAAATGCTTAGATACCATTTAAATTATGACAACTTACAGGTATCATGAAAATATGGCCTGGGGGGCCAGGTAAACCTGAAGTTCCAGGATATCCATCTCTACCAATATCACCCTGTAAAGAAGAAGAAAAAAGATCACCGTCACATAAAGTTAAACTTTTATGTCATCTTTCAGTTTTATGAAAATTACAAAGTAAAAACAACAAGTTGGATAGAAAGATATTTATTAATTACTAGTGAAAAGTATGTAATGCTGAATGACTATGTCTGACTTTGAAAAAGCAGTAATTTTAGTTTTAGATGTTCAAGAGCAGTAAAAACATTTTCATTTCTCTATAATCTTGACTCAAACTACATTTTGAATGTCTGTCTTCAAGAATACAGTAATACCCTCATGTGTAATGAGTTCACTATCAGGCACCCCATTCCAACCAAATAGGGCTGTGTTGAATTGCTTAAGATGACATGATAATATAAAAGTCACAGCATATTGAAAAGGATTGCTGACTGCATGGGCTAATTGTGGAAAAAAATGGAAAGCATTTGGTCAACATTAAAATACAGTTAAGTGAGTGAACTGGGCCAGCAAATAAGAAACCATTTTAATACACAAACAAACGAAAAATGTATTTGACTTATATGTGATCTTGATTTTTTAAGTTTATCTTGAAATTCATGCACAACTAATAGCACATGACCAAGTCTGTGAAGAATGCAGCAGTATAATGAACTTGATTACTGTTTAAAGATATTTTGACCTCTCTCTACACATCTGGGAGCAATTAAGTTATATAGTAACAATGACTTTCCTGTGGATATGAGGATTGACTTAAGTTTAATGAACAATTAAGAACCAAGCTTTAGAATAAAAAAAAAAAACTTCTATTACATACAAAACTGCAATAGCGAGCCTATTTTAACTGTTAATAAAATAAGTGTAAGGTCATGAATGTTATCCTTCAAATGACCAACTTTTTAAAAACATTAACTGCTGGGAGATTTCCATATGATTGCTTCATATTGAGTAATTCTATTCCAACTAAAAAAATGGATTGAATTACTCATTTTATATGTAAGTTATATAGAGGAATCCAACAGTAATTAGTAGCATTAATTGCAAGACTTGACTGTATTTTTCTTTAAATTTTTATGTGATGTAAATGTTATTAAGTAGCCAGTAAGCAACACAGTCACAAACCCACAAATTATTTGGTGCATAAATAGTTTAAAAAATTTTGTTTAAAAATATGATGCGATCCAACGACCCTGTCAGAATTCATAGGATTAAAATCTTGTTTATAATTGGTATGACTTAAAACATTAAATAGTTTCTTTGTGTGCATAAACCAATCAAAGTTACACTCAGTGTTTAGTTTTGGGAATGTGTAAGCTTGTGCATTCAATAATAAAAAGTTAAAATTTTCCTATACTGAAAATATATTTCCAACAGGTAGTTGCCTACTCTCACATAAATAGTTGCTCTCGTTTAGTGCTGCCCTCTATATGCAAAAACAAAATTATGCATGTCACGAACCTTTTATCTCCCCTCAATTGGAATTGACTGATTCCAACGCATCTCTCATGCAAATCATCATACAACAACCCTCTACCAATAAGAGTGCGACATACTCTCACGACGCTTATGACTCCCTCTATTCAATTCTATCGAGCTATCACTTCAAGTTTTGGCAGAAGATGGAAGCACTGCATAACCCCAGATCGAGGAGAAAGAAGACCCCCCCCCCCCCATCGAAAAGCCAAGGAGGAAATTTGCAGTACAAGAAGCAGTGGATTGAGCAGTGGAAAGCCCTCAACACAGGGACCAACAGCATAAAACGTTCCATTTGTGTTGATAAACTTCCATGGAGGAAGGATGAATGGAACAAGCCAGAAATGAAGCTACCCATCAGGACAAGCTGGACCTCCTCACCAAGGACCGAATAAAAACCAGGCGTGAATATGGAGGACTAGAGGGGCTGGATGAAGCACTGATAACCGAGGTTGACGAAGAAGGGATGGAGTCAAAGGAAGAGGTAACTGAAGGATAAGTTGGAGCTGAAGAAGCCACGGAAACCATGGCTGACCCAGCCAGTAAGGAACAATTAGAAGGACTTGACCACTCCATCGGAGAGGCTTTCTTTGGATAGGAAAACCAATCTGCGCCAAGATTGAAAGCACCTGAAACATGACACACAATGATATCAATATCTAGCACATGGGCACAAAAAAGAAGATCCAAAGTGTGAATACAGAGGAACCGAGAACAGGTACTGACCTGGTGATTGAGATAAGCAACCACCGTAGAATTGTTGGAATGGATCATTACCGATGATTTCAGGCCAGATGGAGAAAATGAACCAAAGCACGAAATACAGTGAGAAGCTCCAGGATGTTGATATGATAAAACGTCTCAGCTGCAGACCAATACTCCAAAGCCTACTTTTGATCCACCTATGCCCACCCATCTCTGAAGGAATGCATCAGTGGAAATGTGTAATTGTGGATAAGGAAGAGAAAGCAGGACAACTGCCAACGTGTGAGTCTTGTCCAACCACCAATGCAGATCATCGACCAGGGTAGGGGGAAGGGATCCCTCGCAAGATTACACTGGTCATGAAGAGTCTGACCTAAGGGGATAAGGGCTGCCATGGAAGACCACATTCCCAAAGCAATAGAATTTCTCGAGCTGTAATAGAGGGAGCAGTAAGAGTGTGGAGAACTGACAGCTCCATCGAATGAAGTTGAAGAGGAGAAGGTAGGGCCTGACTGAGATGGGTGTTGAGAAAACACTCAAATGGACAAGATATTTGGTTGCAGAAATGACTTCTCCAACTTGATTAACGAACCTGCTCAAGCCGCCTCCAGGAGCAGCTGTTGAGTGTGATGGGCAAACTCCTGTTTGGAACGAGCTAACAGTAGCCAGTTGTCCATATAATGATGAAAGTGTAGCCCAAGAGCATGTAAGTGAAGAGCAAATGCTCTGACTACCCGACAAAAAACATATGGGGCAGAAACAAGCCTGAAGGGCAGTGCACGAAACTGATAAATCACCCTGTGGTGAACAAACCGAAGATAGGGTCGCGACTGATGAGATATCTGGATATGCAAATAAGCATTTGTGAAATCCACCTGAGGGTGAGAAACCCCTTCATGTCCATGGTGAAATGGGGCACATTGAGAAATTAATTGATATGGGACAAATCTCTTACAGGCTGCCAGTCTCCAGTTTTCTTGGGGACAACAAACAGCTTGGAATAAAAGCCTGGAGAAAGATGATGAACAGGTCTGATGGCCTGTTGAGACAGAAGGTCATGTACTACCTCTGACAGACACTGGCTAGTGGAAGGATCCCATGGCATGGGGAAGGAAACAGGTACCTGAGACAAAAGAGCAGGGGAGAGAAATTGTAGGACAAGTCCCTCTGATAAAACCCAAACAACGCATGGATCTGTGGTGAAAGATCATCACAGGGGATCAAATTCGTACAATTGAGCTCCCAATGGACCGGAACCCACTGGGTAGTCACCAGTACTTGCCCATCTACTTGAATAACAGGACAAGATGAAAAACTCCTGGAAGGAGGAACAGGTAAAGGCTGAGAAGGACTAGGACAGAAAACAGGAACAGGGGCTTGTCTTGGCTCCAACTGCAACAAAGAGGAAATGGTAAAGTGTTGACACACAGACTCCACACATGGTTCCAAGTCTTAAGAACATGACTGAAAATATACTGCCAAAGAAAAGGGGCCATTTGTAAATCCCTAAGATAAGGGGATAGCAAACAAACCTGGGACAAGGTCACATCTCGACCCAGAATATTCCAACAACAGAGATACCACGTGTGTAAATCGAGAGCAAAAAAGATGACAATCTAACCAACGTGGAAGTAGTAAGGGAGAGGCTTTCCCTCGAAAAGCCCTCAGAGTCTCGGTGGATTGCCTCAGAAAGAAGATGAAGAGTAGATAAATATCATAAAAGGGAAGTAAGGGTAAGACAAAGGCGTGAAAACTGGGCATGGGTTAAACACACAGGAAAAATTAACCCCAACTGTTGAGAGTCGAGAAACAGACAGTTAGACTGATGGTAAGCTAATGCAAAGTGATCCATAGCCCGTGGAGCGTGAGGCATGCTGGCACCCTTGACCAATTGTGAAGCAAGTTGCTCAACATGAACCCTAATATCCGGGGATAGTGGGGAAAATAAATAAGGAGAGGAAGAACTAGCATGCAACAAAGAAGGATGGGGATCATAGCAAATAGGGAAAATGGATAAAACATCACATACCTCAGAAATCGTGACTAAAAATGCTTGTATTAGGCCTAGCTGATTCCACAGGTGGGGCATAAGTAGACATGGCAGAATTCGATGGTGGAAAAAGGCTATCAAAATCTTTATTGGCCCGAACAGGTTCAGCTTGCTCAGGAGGAAGTGGGGCAAGTTCAGAAGAAGTAGGTTGACCCATATAATTATCAATCTCACTGCAGATAATCACAGATAAATCCAACGACGGGTTTCCCCCACCTGCAGCCTGTGAAATAGTGCTAGTAGGAGGTATGATGGTATGGTAACATGATCTTCAGAATTCATTGTAGAAATATATATCAAACAAAAGTGTTTGATTTAAAAAATGCAAGTTTGAGAAAAAAACTAAATGCTGGGAAAAGAAGTTAAGATAAAATACTTCTTCAATGTAAAGAAAAAATTAATGAAGAAATCCCACTTCAGAAATTAAACGATTAAAGTCACAAATGTGAATCACATGAAAAGCCCCAAAAGAACAAAAATGTCTGAGCAGAAGTACTGCCAAACAAGAAGTGACAGTTCAGCAGAATTGAATAGAGGGAGTCACATTAGTCATGAGAGTATGGTGGAGGGTTGTTGCATGACGATTTGCATGAGAGATACTTTGGAATCAGTCAATTTGAATTGAGAAGAGATAAAAGGCTTGTGGCGTGCATAACAATTTTTTTTGCATATAAAGAATAGCTATTTATGTGAGAAGAGGTAATGTACCATACTGGAAGTAATCTTTTTAAATACTTATAATAATTTCTTATTCCTAAGATACATTGCTGCACCTATCTAACCAAAAACAGTTACTCTTTGGTGCTGGGTTTCAATTCCATGACCAAGATCCACAAGTTGTGAGATGAGCACCCTAGCCACCAGGCCTGACAGCTACTATTACACTTTGTTTCCTTTAAACTGTCTTTCTTGCAGCACTTAGGGACTACCACAGTTGTAAAAATTACATTTAAAAACTTGGCTAATTGAGTGCATTCCCTTCTAAGTTTATTTCCTGCAGCACTTACGAACTTATCACTGTTGCTGTTGCAAAAATTAGAAATTAAGAGCTTGGCTATATGAATACATACTCTTCTGACTTCCTTGCAGCATCTAGGGCCTTATAACAGTTCACAGTTACAAAAAAGAGAAACTAAGAAACTGAATATATAAGTATATTTCCTTCTTACTATCTTTCCTGCAAAAATTATAAACTAAGAATTTGAATATGAGTATATTCCCTCTAACTATCCTTTCTGCAATACCTAGACTTACCATAGTTGTAAAATTGTAAACTAATACGAATATATGAATATTTATACACACAAACAGACACTAATTCTTTTTAGTAAACATACCAATTATTTTATAGAAAGAAAAACAAATGACTATAGATGTATAACGAATAATAATAAACATTGCATTGTGATTTAATTATTTTATAAAATATAAGTTATTGTCTTGTCCCTAGCCTCAAGTCTTTACAACATGAATGACAACAACAAAATGACAAGTATAAATACTTAAACAGTCAAAAACAAAATGTTGTTTATTTACAAGACTTACCCTGTATAATCCACACTAGAACTAGTTCTGAAATACAAGCTGAAAGTTTTCCTGCCTCTCTTAGATACACTAAACAGGTATTTAAATATACCAATTACACTTAAAATTACATCAGATAATAACATATATTAACACAGCCAGAAGCCAGTCAAGTAAGAAATTAACAGGAAATTAGCTTAAATGTTAAATGGAATACAACAGGAATATTTAACCACAAACAATACTATTTAGTTAACTACAAGTCAACTAGTTGTAATAAAATGGTCTGTAAATTTAGCAAAAATAAGAAATAAAACCATAAATTTATAACAAATATTACTTTTGACAAAAAATGCTTAATTTAATTGTACAACAACTAAGGATCTTAAAGCTATTCTATTTTAAGCAAACATAATGTATCTCCACTTATCAAACACATCTATAAACATGTGTATACATGTACATATTTGTGTATGTCAATTTCTTACATATATTTGAAAAACCTTTCTCTTCTTATCTAGATTTTACCTTATCTCCTTTTGGTCCTGGAGGTCCTGGGGGCCCTTGGTAGCCTCTAGGTCCTGGGGGTCCCTGAAAAATGTAAAATTACTTCCAATTCTAACTGTTAAAAAATGTTCATTATTCAAGCATACAATCTGGGAAACACCTTCAAATATTTTAAAGCTACATAAGCCAATAAACTTTTTATTTTTTTTATTTCTATAATTATAATGATGGTTTAAAAAATGTTTTTATACAATGTTTGACTAAAATACATGTAATTCATGTAGTATACAATATTTTAGATTACCTACAAATTTAGTAGTTCACAAAGACCACCTAATGAAAGTTACCAACATACCTATATTGTTTTTATGTAAATCAAAAAAAAAGAATCATGACCTGTGTTTCAACTAATGAGTGTTTACAAGATAGTCATTTTCTAAAAACTTTTTTAAATACATTTAGCTGTACTTACACTTATATTTACACACAACAGCAACAAAATATTAAATAAAAATATAAAAATAAAAATTAAATATTAAATGGCATTTCAGTCAGTGATTAATTTAACTCTAAAAGTGATAGGTATTTTAAAAATGTCGAAAAACTAACTACTAGATGTTGAACGACCCAAAGGGAAGAGCTGTTGGAGAATTAGTTTGAAAGAAAATAACATATTTCGTTAGAAGTTACAAATTTAAAATGTAGAGTCCTAGCTTTCACTCATTCTTACTTATTGGAAATACCTGGTGAGAAAAAATACAGTTACTCTCCATTTTATTATAATCTAAAACTCGTAGCTTACCTGCACACTATAATAATGGTACCTTCCTTCCTCAGTACTGACCTCTGTGGTAAAATTATCTTCCTGAAAGAATTATTCATATACATATCACATTTTTCAAAATTACTCATTTATTTTTACAACAGACAAACATTAGGTCTAGTTATTAAACACACCAGCAATTATATTAAATGAAATAAATGACCATAAATTTAATAGACAATGATGCACATTACACTACTATTTAAAAGTCACTCTCTCATATCACTGGTTCCTTTTAGATCTGGGCAATTCAATCAATTAATCAATATAATCAATTACTAACAAGCACTGGTTATCTCACATAGTGTCACATAAAACAGCCAATTAATTGAAATTACAATTACATTATTTAATGTCATGAAAATAATGAAATAATTGAAATTAGTGTTTCCGATCATTATATTTCTCAGCTATTCCAACTATATAACTAATTCAAATATTGCCATTATGATTCCTCATTATTATTTTTGATTAATTCAGCTTCACTTTAATTGATTAGGGTCATGACTTACAAAAGTAATCAACACATCAAAATTAGTGTTTCCGATTATTATTTTCTTTCATTATTCCACCTATCCAAGTCTCATATGAAAAAAATCAATTAATGGTCCTAAAAATTAAATCAATTAGCAAATTTCACTAATCACCCAGGTCTACTTCCTTTATTTAAAAATACCAGCTGCTTAAATAAAAGTAATAATTCAACTAAAATCATTAATATCACAAACACTTTAAGACCAATTATACAAATATATGAACTATATTATACAGGGTGACCACAAACTCCTGTTCCAGTTTTCAAAGTTTATTAGAACAAAACCAAAAGAGCAAGAATTATACAGCTTTTAGTGCCTTGTTGCTTAACTAAGGAAATTTTTTCTAGATTTACAGATTGTAATTGGAGTGTTTAGTTGCTAATGGTCAAAGCTTGAATGAAGATGGCGACTACACAGGAGAAAACTCAATGTGTACACTTTATACGTGTAAATATGCAATCTCTTGCATTGGACTTTGTGTACCATTGATCTTGGTAGCTGTATTTCACTTGAAGCACAACGAATAGACTTTCTAGGGCTGCATTGGAATGTCTCCTGAACATTAGCAATGGTTTCTTCAGAAACACCTGGATGTCCACTTGGGAGCAGGTCAATTACACTTCCTGACTCCTGAAATTTGTGAAACAACCTCCTAATGCTGAGTTTGGAAGGAGGATTCTTGCCATATCGAAGGCAGTAATTCTACTGAGTAGTTGTCACTGATCTAGACTCTGCAAACCAGATGACACATTGAGCTTTCTCCTGTGTAGTACCCATCTTCATTCAAACTTCAATCATTAGCAACTGGACACTCTGATTATAATCTGCAAATCAAGGAAAAAAACTTCATTAGTTAAGCAACAAGGTGCTAAAACTGCATAATGCTAGCTCCTTTGGTTTTGTTGTAATAAACTTTTAAAACTGGAACAGAACTTTGTGGACACCCTGTATATACAGGACTTTAAAAACCACAATCCTGATTTAAAAAGTTGTCCAGATTTTGTGCAATAATATTAAAAAAAAACAATTAGTCTCTTTTCTTCCCATTTAGTTTTTTCTTTTGTTTAATGTTTCTGTTTTTTTTAGATGGCTTGCTCTTATCTATAATAACTTTATCTTCAATTATCATTTTTCAGCTATTAATTTTTGAAGGAGAATATGGTTTGTGCACATAAAGTTCTTTATACCTTCTTCAAAAATGTTTAAGTACTTTGAATAACAATGTTAACAACTTACAATAGTTTTTCTTCCTAAAATTTCAAAATATTTTTCTTAACACATTCACTGTCATATAATAAATTAAGTATAAATAAAATTAAACAAGGT